CACCCGCCTCGGATACCAACCTAGATCTGCTTCATGGCGGGGATGATTAGCAGATGCGCAGCGAATTGCGTCGTATGAGGCGTCGGATCTGCGTTGGAAGAGATTTCGTCGTCCACCATCCGACACGATTCTGCACAATATCTGCCCTACATATCATAGGTTATTCCGACGTATACGTAGCACTGTCAGCTCGAGATCCGACCATGTATCTGTGCCTTCAGTTGTATATTCGACATCTTCATTCAGCCCTATGGGGCTCACTTCTGCTGCACAATGAGACGTCATTGCACGGGAGACTACATTAGGAATGCCATGGTACGGTCGCGGCAACGGAGTACTATAGGTCGTAAGATGTGTGTAAAGAGAGGTGACGGGAATGACTATGCGGGAAGAGTGATGGAGGAAGGTATGCAAAATGGTATCGTACGAACTAGCGACCGACATTCGCCCAATCGATATCTTCGGTGCTGGCTTCAGGTGTGCGGCGCACAACGGTCGATGGAGCGGACAAAGTCGTACCGGCTCCGGTCAACTGATCAGCCCAGTCATACTACAATCTCAGCGAGCGAGGGGGACATACAAGACACGGCCGTACAACTCGTAAAACAGCTTGTGTGTATGTTCGCCAGGTTCATTTGCCAACTTCTCCATGTCGGCGATGAAGACGTCGTACGTGCCCGCATACCCGGCAGCCGAGAACGGCCCTGCGGCCTTCTCGCCGAGCATTTTGACTTCAAGTACGCGATAAATCTGAATCAAAGGCTATCAGACGATGAGCGCAGACAGGGAAAAGAGCAACACATACTGTAGTATAAACAAGAGCGACAACGGCATACGGGACTTCATACTCACGAGCACCGGAGTGTCGGTTGAGCTTGTACGGGAACGATGGTAGGAGCTTGGCGAACAGAGTCTTCCTCTTCTTGATCACGTCCTGTATAACAGTGATACCAGCCTTCGCCTCGAACGGTGTCGCGAGATTGGGCACACCAGCCTATTGATTAAGTGTCAGATGTACTCCCGTACAGCGGCACATGAGGGGTGGAGCTCACCGTCGAGTGAGGGAATATGACACCGGATTTATGGCCAAAGCTCTTGAGCGCTGCGTTGCGCGCATCGTCGTCGGGTTCCGGGAGAGGGTACAGAGCCGGTCGATCCTTGATGACCGATTTGGCAGACGCCTTCACGAGCTTGCGAAACGTAGTAAGCTGGCAAATCCCCTGTTCCCTCGTAAGTAAAGAGCAAAGAACGATGGCACGGATTCCCACCAATGATGTAAGCTGGGCGAAATAGTTGGTCTCAGACTCCATGCGAGTAAGAATGTCTCTCCACGTATGTAAGGTCGTTCGCGCCGCAGCAATGAGCGCGGCCTGCGTGCGGGTACTGCAGCTTGAGCTGGTGACTGAGTTGCCGCTCTTGGGATGCCACGGACACCAGCAAGGCCCTTGAGAGGGAGCAGGGGAGGGCGAGCCCGCCGTCTAGATGGACCAGTGAGAAGGAAGCTCATGATGAGCATTTGGAAAGGGAAGAGCGAGCGCGTCGCGCGCACGGACTGCGCTGTGACGTGACGCGTTGCACTCACCGCTGACGTCAGGCTCGTGTGTTGCCTTGGGCCTCTTTGCGGTTGCCATCTGAGTTGGGTTGTTGACCGAATCCTCCCTCTTGCGGCTACGTGTCTTGGTACCACCGCCATGAGATGTATCTGCGTGGATACTATCAGCATCGAGAAGGGTACAATCCATGGTGCACCTACCATTGCTTGACTGGAGCTTCTTATTCGCTTTCGTGAAGGATGACTGCTCTCCCCTCGAGAGCGTGCTACAATCGATGGCCTCAAGTTCGCGATAGCGACCTTACGTTCAGACTCCTTCCCACCCACTTTTGACCTCCAAGTATTTGCTCTCTACTTGGAGCTTGGGCAGCGTCAGTGCCTTGCCCAAGCGCCACCTTTCCCGCCCAGGTGTCTGGGTGCGGTGAGAGAGGTCCCGCCCGCCGTCCCCCCGTGAGGTGCGGAGACAGTTCCCTGACGTATGAGCT